ATTATTATTATTATTATATATATATATATATATATATTGTAAATATAAATATAATAAAGTAAGTAAATATTTTTACTAGCAGTAAAATATAAATTTTTCATATATTACTATTTTTTTATTACCTAGAGTTGTTATGGGCCATATAGTGACCTCAGTTTTATTTTTTTTTCATTTTTTATTTTTTTTTTGGACTGCTTAGAGTTGTTATAACCTATAGTGACAAAAAATCGTTATGACCCATAGCGACCTCAGTTATTTTTTTTCTTCAAATTTTATTTATTTATTTTTTTGTGTCATTGGTTCGAGTTTTTTTTTCTCCAAATTTATTTTACTAATTTTTTTTTAATTTTTTATTTTGTAATTCAATTTTTTTTTCTTTTGCGTTTTTTTACAATTTTTTCCTTCATTTATTTTTTCTTTTATATTTTTCCTTTTTTTTCTTTACCAGACGTATTTTAACAATATTTTTTTAACTATTTTTAAAATTTTGTAATTTTTTTTTCGTTTTTATTTTGTTTTCTTCTATGACTCAACTTTTTTTTCTTCATTTTTTTAACACCTTTTTTTTTTAGATTTTTTTCATTTTTTTCAAAATACTTTTCTTTATAAAAATGGAATTTTTAATGTTAATTATTTTTATTTAAATTTATTTTATTAAATACTACTAATGTCGTTATTGTTATTGTCCATTGCGACCTTTTTTCTCGTATTATTTATTTTCATTTTTTAAATATTTTTTTCAATATTTTTTCCTGTTTTTTAAAAAAAATTCTTTATAAAATGGAGTTTTTTTAATCTTAATTATTTTTATTTAAATTATCTTAAAATATATTATAAATTTATTTTTAATTGAATAAACTATTCTAGGTTATTTTAAAAAAATCTTATTTTTTTTATAAATTATTAAAATATTTTAAAAGTTCAACTCTTAAAATAAATATATTTTAAAAATATTTTTTATTTTATGAAAAAAATTATTTTTTATAAAATTGAGCCATTTTGAATGTTGAAACAGTTGATAACAACACTATTAAAGTCGCTACAACCAGTAGCTACTTGTACGTGGCTAAATTCAAGTCGTCGTAATCAAAAAAAATTTTAAAAAAATACACGTGGCACTAGTGTCGCTATTATAATAAGCTGTCTCAAAAGCATAAATAATTTCAAAACAATCCCATTTACATAATTAATTTTAAAAAATACCTTACAATTATCAATCAGCCTTCAAATAAAGTAAATTATTTTATTATTTCAAGTGGGTTCTTATATATTGCTTCACTTTTAAGAAGGGTAATCCAGAGGAGGTTTAGGGGTGGTTACCCTGCACTCATGATTGAAAGGGATTCAAAAATGGTTCAAACAACTTTAATGTTAAGAGAAAAAAAAAAAACCATTTTTAACGGGAAAAAATTATTAAATTTCGACTTATTAAAGTAAAACTAACAAATACTCTCTTCTTTATCTTGCCGCATTTTCTTTTTCAACCAAGAATATAAGAAAGATAAATTCTTTTGGAGATGTAAAGGTTACTGAAGTGAAATTTTTTTTTTCCTAACAAATTTTTTTCATTCACATAGTTAAGAAATCAAATCTCTATAAACATGTTTATCGTGTCACATTTAAATCTAACATTAATTCATACTTATATTTTTAAAATTAATCTGACAAAAAAAAAGTAAAACTTATGCCATTGGGAATGTTTGTACATTCTATTTTAATCTAAACGCAATTGGAAATATTTTATATATTATGTTTTAAAATTCACTTAAATATAATTTTCATCCTTTTAATTTAGTGTTTTTTTTCTTCATTTTTTGTTCTTATAATTTTTTTTTTTGAATCATTCCTATAAAATCCAAATGTTTCATATTTTGCCTCTATCATCAAAATTTGTTACAAAAAATGATAACTTAATAAGATCATCCCATGTCCCATAAGTAAGAAATAACATCATTATATGTCAAGTCAACATAATATCACATTATCATATGCCACATTAACAACACAGTAGAGGGATAAAAAATAAGAGAAAAAAAATTCATTGACGAAAAATGATAATAAAAAATTCATTTTTATCTCTATAATATATTACTAACATGATAAAATTCATTTTATCTCTCTAATATATTACTAACATGATACTATTGTTGATATGACATAATGATATGACATGATGTTAATATAACACACAATATAATAAAATTATGTTAACATGATACATAATGATATTAGCATGATATAATCTTTTATTATCATGATAGGTGATTATGTCATCAAATTAATGTTTTTGTAATAGATTTTAATGATAATAACGAAAAATGAAATATTTGAATTTTATAGGAATAATTCTAAAAAAAATATTTACAAAAACAGATTATATTTACATCTTTAAAATCTAACCTGTTCTTCACTTTATTTCAAGTACAGTATTTGAGAAGGAAAAGGTTTAACGTTGAAAGTTGAAACATCAAGGCTATTGTTTTCATTATAATTGGGAATGGAAATTTTCCGCTTTGAAAGAATGCACACGGGTTGTGCAATTGGAAATGGAACAACGTTAATGTGCATTGTGTAATTGGGAATGAAAAGTCGTTGAACGTTAAGACGTTTGATCATAATGAGAAATGGAAGTAGCAGGTTGCTCTGTTTTACGATTAAAACAAGACTACTCAGTCAGAATGCATATGCGCAGAGTGTAATTAAAAATGTAAAGTGGTTGTGTAGTTAGAAATAGAAACCACAAATTATTCTTTTAAAACGTTAACTTGTTAAGATAAGAGGGACAATACAGGAATTTTCAAAACGCCATGAGACCCATTTACGTTAAAGACTAAAACTATACCTATTTGACCTACCTTTTATAAATCACAGCGCATAGAGAAAATGCTTAAATAGAAATACGTCAGGAAAAGACCCATAATCATTTAAAATCGATCTAAATTTACCGAGTCTGATGCTCATTTAGAACCAAAGAAAAGAAAGTTGAACTTGAATATTCTCAATTTCCCCCTCCACATCTTTTCGTCAGTCACTATGTACACTAAACAACCATTAGGTAGAACCTGAAATATGAACAAGACATGTCCCGCCCCTACAGCTATCTCTAAGGCCTATCTGTTATGTACAGGTTCTTTCAGGCCGAAGCAAAATATAAGCTTTTCATACACATTTACTCCTATTAAAACAAACCTTTTAATAAATACTTAGAAGAAAAAATAAGAAAATAAAATAAATTAAACTTTCCTCACAAAATTAAAATCAACTTATGCATAATCAAATATATATAAACTGTCATTTAATTTTTCCAAAAACTGATTTTAACTATGCATAAGCAAATTTTATGTTATGAGAAAATTTTAATTCATTTTATGCTTATATTTTTCCCTAAAAGTATTTATTAAAAAACATTTATCCTAACAGAAGGCTAATGAAATCCTTTAACGAACATCAGATGGCACTGGCAAGCCGTTTCCGAAGCAACTAGCACTAGTACTAACGTTAGTGACAGTCTCAGTTTTGCAGTGCCCACTAGATTTGGGTTTGGCTTCAGAGTTTTGGCATCTGAGGCAAACAAAACGTGCTGGAACAGGATCAGTATCATGGATGTCAGAACACCTAGTGTGCCGCCACACTCCACATATATCACACGCTAACATTCTCTCTCCGTCATCATCCTTAGCCCCACAGCTGCAATCTACAGTCCACCTCTCAAGTCCCCGTTCCATTCGGAACTTGCTCAACCCATTCTTCCCAATGCATCTTCCTCGGACACAAACTACATCTTTCGATCCTAACAAGTGCTTGACCTGGGTGGAATCGTCAACACCGCTATAGCCAAGTACCTCATCAACCTGAAATCTCCTGAACATTAGATAAACATCTTGAAATGCATTTGCTGCTTGGTTCTTAAGCTCAGCCAACGTAGCATTCGTGGGCATCACAATTAATTCTGGTGGAGTTATAGCTTCTGAATCTTCAGCTTCATCTAAAAGTTCAACCTGACATGAGATGCGTAACTTCAGCAAATCTGACAATGGCAACATCTCAGGACTAAAATCTTTTACAAACTGCTTGCAGTCAAAAAGCTTCTGAGCTGAGGTCATTGCAAGAGCCCTTGTCCCTGCTTCAACATAGTTTACCATCATCTGAGGATGAAGCAGAGAGTCATACAAATATCTCAAGCATTGTAAGAGGTTTTCTTCAGATGGATACTTCGAGCCTGAAGAATTATTGTTCGCTAAAATTCCATAGCAAGCACCAGTTGCAGCCTCGAGTCTAAAGCAAATAAAATACCATAATATCAGGACCGATTCACATGATCACATCAAATAAAATTATAGAAGCAAAAGGAAGATAATCTTCCAAATAATACAAATATAGGCATCAATGCTTTGGAAAGAACATCAACATTTCAATTTTCAAGGCCCAAGCTCAGTATTAAGATGTTAATGGATTTTATATGCAAACACTTTAGTAATAGTCCAAATGAAAACCCGAGAAACAAGCAAGGGGAAGATCAAATACCCTTGAAAAAAATTAGTCAACTATCATGCATGAGGATAATGCCAAGATCAAGCATCAATTCAGCTTCACTGTGACTCAAAAAATGTAGAACTAGGCAATGAAGTAGTTTGTTTGTTTACGAAATCATAAAACTGAAGCATTGTTGTGTGTATACCACAACTCATGTCCGAGTTAGTGTGTCACGACCTTTCTCTAGGCAGTTAAACTACACAAAACAGAAGGGTAAACATCCCATAAGAATTAGATTGAAGTCTAACCTCAACTCATAAACTCCAGTTTGAGGATTGCATCGGCTATTAACAACCATTCCACCATAGACCATTTTTCCTCCCATTTCTCCAAGGCAATAATCAAGCAGCTCTGGAGGGCCCACCTTGCAGGCTGCTCCCCTAAGAGCACGCCAGCTCACCCACTTAGTCTCAGACACTGCACGCAGCACTCTGACCATGGCTTCCTCCACACGTTCAATGTCACTCTTATCCCAAGAAATTGACAGTCCAGAAGCATTAAAACGACGCTTCTTGCAGGATGTGTCATCAGTATTTGATGCATTCTTGCGAGCATCACCAATCAAACCCATCATGAAACGAAAGAGGTCCCTTATATTTACAAGCTTATGCTCTGACAAGGACTGGTAATATGAGATCATGTCCTGCACACGAGAGTGAGGCATCTGTCCCTGGGAAAAGGTGGACAACGGTATATTGGATAGGCTTTCAACTGCAGATGTGTATGCTTCATGTGTGAGACAATAGCTACCAGAGCCAAATTTATAACCCCAGTCACCATACCACGGATGTCCCTTCGTAATGGCATGGAGCAAGCGATACTCTAACCCGTATTTCTTTGAAACATCCATCACGCTAACTTTTCTGCCCACAACAAAAGTGAAGAAAACAAAAGAGTTAACTCATGGCAATATCCGTATAAAACACAGTTAACCAAAAGAAATATTATCCCATTTCATGAAGGTATTTCAAGACACCCAAAAGTCAAGTATTGTAAGATGTCCCTCGTCTTTATAACAGGGTAAATTCTTATGTGACAATAAGTTTAATTTGCACAATCACTAATTTTTTTAAGAAATGCTTCTGCATCATTCTTCCCCACCTCATTGCTAACAAGGTGACGAGTGTCATCATGAGCAACACAAGCATAAAATAGAAATGCTAGAAAGAATTAGCTCAAAGAAACCTGATAACTAGGTGATCAGAGTGTCATAAATGACACAACACAACACAAGTATAAAATAGATATAATAGAAGGAATTAGCTCCAAGACAATGAAGGTACAAGTCAGGAAAAAATAGAAGTTAGTAAATTACAATCAAGAATCCTAACCTGACTCCAAGAGTCTTGCATAGGCGATCCCAGAAATCCATAATATGACAACCAGAAATAAATCTAGAGCCCCCTTCTCTGCCATTAACCCGAAGAAGGTGCCCATATCCATTGGCATGGACTACGCCATGTAAAAGATGAGTTGTGTTCTCTAATTGATGGTAAACCCAGTCTTCGACATCATCAGTGGTAGTCACATGGTTGCAAGACTTGCATCTGAAGATAGAAAGCATTACCCAAAATGTAAGATCAAGGACAGCAGCATTCAACTGATTTGCTTAACATCATTTTGGTGAAAAGCTCTTTCAAATAATAATAATAATAAGGTAATCCCAACATGCACTGATCCTCAAACGAAAGGAAACTATCCTCTCCTTCGGCATAGAGTGAAATTGACACTACTAAGGTAATCCAAACATGCATTGAGCCTCAAACGAAAGGAAACTACCCTCTCCTTCAGCATAAGGAGAAATTTAATACAAACAGAACTACTACTTCACTCGTGGTAAGTTGAAATAAACCGGAGGAGGCTCAAAGACAAAAAATTTGGAACTCTGACAAACAGGCATTCCGTTTCAGCAATCAACCGCGTTAACTTTGAAAAATAACTCGGTAGCAACAATGTTTACAATTTAGAGAACGGCTAATTTTCGAGACTGACTCCAAAATTTGAATCTACATTCTACAATCAAAGAAACAGGACGTGAATTAGTAGTAAATGGCTACCAAAAAATTGACAGAAATAAGAATAGCATAGACATATTCCAACTTTCCAATTTATTAGAGTATCAATTACTCTAGACAACAATTGAAAAGCCAAAAAAAAAAAAAATCCAAAAGACGACGATTTCCCATGAAACATTATAAAAAACAAAATGAAAAAGAAAGAAAAAAATGCTTAGGTGGCATAAGGTTACCCACTTGGATTCTGACAAATGCAAGATATCTCCACAGCACATACACGGCTTGTGGTACCCACCAATAGAACTCCCATCGGCTTTGATTATAAAATGGTACCGCTTCGCGCACACTGGGTGACCGCTCCAACCTAAATAACAACTCCGTAAGTTTCAAATCAAAGAAATAATAATAAATGAAAATGTTTACACCAAAAACAAAATTGACAACCCACGCGTATGCCGGCTTAAATAAGAATAATTAGTAATAAATAAATAATATAAATCATATACACTAAACCAGGAGAGAACAGGATTACGATTTATGAAAATTATTATTTATTATTTATAAAAAGAACAGCATGCTTCCATGTTAGTATGCGTGGCGCATGACTTGAGAAGCACGTCAATACTACTAAGTAAAGTTGGACCACAACAATGATAAAAAAAAAAAAATTTAATATATTAATAAGATGACGACATAATAATCATAGCTGTCACGCAACAAGGACAGCAAGGAAATGTCCCACAAAATTACGACCGACACGTGGCATTTCAAAGCCCTTCCACGTGTTCACTTCCAATGGGCCCCACCAACCACCTAACCCTTATTTTCTTTTGATCCTCGATTATATCTCTCTCTGGATCTTATCGTCACAGAAACGACGATATGGTCCACTTCAAGTTATTAAACATTCAATTTTGCTGCAAATAATTCAATAACTGAACATTATTCCGCCGCATACTCACTTAATCATCATAATTATAAACTTCATTGACTTATGATTATGTTTAAATATCCAACTAATAATAAAAATAATAATAATAAACGTCATCTCGCGAAAATATCACGATAATTTCAAGGAATAGTTATTATGTGTCATTTTTCATTTTGCAAGTTGCAACATGCTTTGGAGTTGGTGAACGGGAACCGGCAACCGAAGAGAAACCTGGAAAAAACGATTAAACCAAAGCGATTCATGCAAAAGAGAACCGGCTGGAGTACTGGCGAGTCAACTCACCAAAAACTCGGCACTGATCGCAGTACACGGATCTGGATCTGGCGACGTCCTCCTCCACGACGTCGAGGCACACCACCAGCGGTTCGGAGCCTTCGGTGAGCTCGCCGACGCGGAAGAGGATCTGCCACGTCAGCAGGTGCGGGAACAGCGCGGACGGTGGCGGAAGCAGCGCGTGCTTCGTCAGGAAGGAGCGGACGTTGGAGCGGAACGGTCCGCCGGCGAAGCTTTCCGACTCGGCGAGGGACGGCGAGGGGAACGTAAGGAAGTCGTAGAAATCGGCGGTGACTCTCTTCTTGGCTCGTTTCAAGCCCTTCCCTCCGCTGACGACCATGATGGAGGCGGTGACAGGCGCGTGGTCCAGCGTGAGAGGCGCGTGAGGTGAGATCTCGAAGATGAGGGTTGGGAGGTTGTGGATCGGGGAGCGAGGGAGAGAAATGTTGCAACAGAGTTTGGCGGTTGGAAGAGAGAGAAATGAAGAAGAAGAAGAGAGAGAAAGAGAGAGATAGTGAGAGGGAGGGAACGATCGTTTCAGATTAGGGTTTGGTAGTCTTTTTTTCTGTTTGGATGATGAGATTTGATGGTCGTCGTTGGATTAATCTGGGATCAGTATTTTTGTATTTATACACACAACACATTTAATTATTCTCACAGTTAGAGAAAAAAGAAATATTCGTTCAGAGCATTCGCGAGAAAACAGACTCTGTTTAGAGGAGAGAGAATTTCAGGGATCGCAAATCTTAGCCGTTAAGCGAGTTTACCGCCATCAGAGCTCATGCATACTAGACCAAGTTTTCTTCTCTCTCTCTCTTTTTTTTTTTTTTTTTTTTTCTCTAAGAAAGGAATAATAAATATGGTAAATGCTAATTTTTTGATTTTTTTTTTTTATTTTGGGTAGTGAAACCCTTATTTTTGGACAATGTTTATTCCAACTGAACTTGTTTTTTTTAAGAAAAAAAGCAACATGCATTTTCTTTTAATGATTTAATGGTCATATATCGTAACACGGTTTTATACTCTTACTCGATTACAATTTATGGTTTTACTAATTTTTATAATAATTATATTAAAAATTATATAAATTATAATTTTTTATTAGTTGATAGTATAAAACTTTTTTTATGTTGATAATATAAAACATTTTATACTCACACAATACAATTATTAAACTCTCTATCTAATATATGAATGTCTTTCTTTATTATTCTTTATCTGCTATTGTATCCTTTTATTATTGTGTTCATGTATGTAATAATTGAAATTGCTTGTTTTATTTTTTTTCCTTTTTCATTTTTAATTAAAAAGTAATATATTTTCTTATTTATTAAATTTTCTTTCATATAATTCACATGTCAATTTTCAAATATCAAATAAGAAAAGAAAATAGAAAAAATAGATTATTTAGTTCCGGAAAAGAAGAAAATATAATCGTAAAGAAATGAATGAGCAAAAATATTTTCACACTTTTGAATATTAGTAGTATAATTTATAATTTTTATATTATTATTGAAAATTAAAAAAAAAAAATATTTGAGGACTTAAGTAAGTTTTCCGTTCATGTAAAGTCAGCAGTTTTTGTTTTTAGTTTTTCGACAAATTCACCTTTAAATTTAATAGAGAAATGTTGAAAAAAAAATATAGAGATTAAAATAGAAAAATTAGGGATTGTCAAAATGAGCTAGTAATTAGAACATGATCCATTACATGGATCCTTATGTTAGTATAGGATATACATGGATCCAAGACCTTATGTTAGTATAGGAAATTAAAAAATAAAAATAAAAAATCATCATCATCATTTATACAATGAACAAATCATGAATGTCGAAAACAATCATCAATATAATTCAATATATAAAGTTAAGAGCGTAAAATATAATATTTTAAATATATATTAATAATTTAATTAAATTGAAACAGTATAACCTACTTTTACTATATCTTAGTTTATGTCCATTTATTAAATTTTATACATATTAATTATTAATTATGACAATTAGTATTAATTTTATATTATTTATTAATATTTTATGTAACTATTTTTATGTTATTTGATATTATAAGTTGATACGAATTTTTGTAATATCTTTATTATTATTATTAATATAGTTATAATTTTAAGATATAAAATTATAAATAAATATATATATATATATATATTTAATTTTAGTGAGTTAAATCATAAAGGTTAAGCGAGATTATTATTATTATTTACTTATCAAATAAATGAGCGTGACTAAACCGATATTCACATCTATAAAAAATTCCAATAACAAAAAGCTTGGGATTGTTGAACCCCCATACAGTGGCAAGAAAGTGACATATCTCAATTGACTCTCTTGTACATTGCATTAAAAAAAAAAAAAAAAAAAAAAAAAAAAAAAAAACCTTTATTATTTGACCCTCAGGTGTGATCACTCATTTTGATATTTATGTTTTGTATTTATTACTTTTTATTTTTTATAACTCAAAAGTAATTACCTTATTACATGAATTTTATGAAATTTTATCTTTAAAGTTTAATTTTCGTATAAATAACTTTTTAGTTCTTAGAAAATAGGTATTTTTGCTTTTGGTCTCTTTTAATTTTCTTTAAAAATTTTGTCTCCATTTTTTTTCTTATCGTCATATTGATCATTAATTCTATGAAAATGAGAACAAAAAATTACAGGGATTAAAATAAAATAAATAATTATAAAGATCAAAATAGAAAATGACAAACAAAAAAAAATCAAAGATTTAAAGGTGTAAAAACAAAAATAATTAGAATTAAAAGGATTAAAATTAAAATAATTTTATTTTAGAAAACTAAAATTTTATTTAAACTAAATTTATAAAATTTAAACTTTAATTTATAAATATAAATAATAAAAAATATTAATTTTTTATATATAAAATATAACAAAGATTCAAATAGAATGGTGACACACGAACATAAAATAATAGAAAGGAATTTTTTGGTTTAATGGAATCTATATAAGATATCGGTATAATGTAAAAAGAATGTTAATGTAATTTTTTTTTCTGATTTTTTTTATCATTTTATGCTGATGTGCTGTGATTCATTTTATTATTTCTATCTTATTTTATGTTTAGATTTTTTTAATTTATTTGTTATATTTATTTTTAGTGTACACAATGTTATAAAAGTGATTGTGTTTTTATATGATTTTTATTTAGTTATATGTTTAATTTTTATAATTTTTAATTAGTCACTAATTCACTTGTTTTAATTTTTTTTATTTTTTACTTTGTATCAGTACATTTATAGTATTTAATTATTTAAATTTTATAAGCTTGGTTAAAATAAATATTTAGTGCCTGCCTCCATCAACAACCAAAATATGGCAAATCAAATGCAAAGAAGAAAACATCAAAAGACAAAGAAAGAAATATTCTTTTTCTTAAGTTCCTAAGTTCATTTGTCTTAAATTTTTAAATTTAAATTAAACAAGTTTTTTTTTATAAAAAATATTCTTTTAAAAACATCGTTGTGATATCCAAGGAACATTTTGCTTTATAATTGTATTTTTTTTTACTTTCATACCTTAGCGGTCTAAAAAACTGAAGTGCAGAACCGCCGTAAACCTTAAAAAAGTGGGGGTAATTAGTAATTACTCCATTTAACAGGAGGATCTAAAATATAAACCGAAAAGTTTTAGTGAGATTATGACTGATCAAATATTTTTTGAGACAAAAAACAGAAATTAACATAAAATGAGAGATTAAAATATAATTAACCCATTTTTTTTTGGGAGGTTAGTGATACTAGTGTCTCACTTAGAGCCTTAACAGTTAACACCCTACATTGGGCCTCACTCTTCGTAAGTTTTCTCGCTTAACGAAATTCTAAAGGGTGATAATATATACACTTCTTATCTTTTATAAATACACCTATAATCTCTTTTTTTAAAATAAAATTTCTAAAATATTCTTTTAACTAAATTCTTATTTTAAGTTTTATTTTTAAAATAATTTATTGTTCACCTCGTTCTTTCACCGTTCTTTTTCTTCTTCTCCTTTTCCTTCTCCTTTTTCATCACTCTAATATGATTTTATTCTTTTTTTGTTTTTTATTCTTGATTTTTCTTCTTTTTCAATCAACATAATCATATTTTATCTTTGTATCTTTTAAATTTTATTTTTCACGTTCTACTTTATCCTTCTTTAAACCCTAATTTTCACTCAATCTTTATTATTTTCTACATTCAATGCAAGGTACAAATTAATATATTCAATTTCATTTTATATTTATAATTTTTTAAACTTATTTAATATTACTTATGCACAATAGGAATATATAGTTGGTTGAATTTTTTGCATTGGTAGACGATAACGGTGGATGATAGAGACAAAGAAACACTAGTAATTTAAAATTCTCATACTTTTAGAAAATAAATTTTGAAATGTTAATTTTAACATTCCGGAAAGTACTTACCGGAATAATAAAATTATTGTTTCGGAAAGCATTTTTCGGAAGCGTGTTTCTTATATAATTTTGAAAAGTTCTTTCCGGAACATTAAATTTAGTATTCTGAAAAATATTTTCAGGAATTATATAACAAACACACTTCCAGAAAATACTTTCCGGAATAAAAAATTTATTATTCCTAAATGTACTTTCCGGAACAAAAGTTTTACTATTCCAGAAAGTACTTTTTGGAACAAATAGTGAGAAAAATTATTTAGAAGAAAAAATGCATATGGTTTGACACATTTTCCTTCGACGGTGAACCCGCTTACAATTTATAACAAAACCAAAAAGAGAATAAGAGGATAATGCAGAAATTAAAAAGGGAATAAGGAGAGGAAGGGAGGTGCGGAGAAGAAAGTGAAAAAAAAGAAATAAGGTGCACAAAGAAAATAAAAGAACAAAAAGTGTAAATCTAAACAATTATAAATTAGAAAAATATTAAGATAATTTAAGAATGTATTATATTTTTAAAAAATGTATTTATAAAGAAATGGAGGTGTGTATATGATTTGCCAATTCTAAAATGCTATTAGGGAAGGTTATCACAGTGATGGATCACAAACTAAAAACCTTTGCTATCAGGCCCTTCTTCTCGCCAGAATACTAAACGCTCTTTTTGTATCCATTATTGATGAGGGAGACTACCAATGACTCCCAATTATCACTTTCACTTTTTTTTTATTTGATATTTAAATCATCTCTTTTAATTTGCTTACGTTTTTATTGAAATAATTGTTAAGATTGAAATAATTTTTTCTCTGTAAAAGTTTGTCCAAAAAGTGAACAATTTAGTTATTTTATGTTGATTCAAAATAAGGACAATTAATTACTTTATAACACCCCAAATTTTTTTAAAATAAATTAATAAAGGTTTTAAATAATTAATTAGATTGTTTTATAAATAACTAGTAAATAAAAAAGGATTATTTCAAATCACTTAATTATGAGTTATTATTTAATTATAAAAGAAGTAATTGTAGTTAATTGTTTTAACATATTGATTAAATAAGGTTAAGATTTTCTTTATAAAGAGAAGTTACATTAGGTAGTGTTTGTTTCCGGAGATGTACTGTTTACGAGCAACGAAAGGCGAGGAAAGTATGTGTTTGTTTCCCGTGATTTGGAGCGAAAGAAAGGCGAAGAAAAGCGGGGAGAAGCACTGTTGCTCTCCTCGCACAAAAGCAAAGAAAGGAGGTGAAAGACACGTAGGATTTGTGAAAATCCGAAAATGCCCCTCC